AAAAAAAAAAAAAAAAAAAAAAATAAATAAATAAATAAATAAATAAATTGTAGCTAAAGGTTTGTAATTCTCTTATGAAACAAAACATTACTTTTGTACTCGGTATAAAAATTGGACAAGGTGACTGAAAAATATAATCTGTAGAGAACAACAAAATGCAATTCTATAAGAGAACATAATCTGTTCAGACTTTTTCTGTTAAGACATTTTCTACTGCTTGAGCAAGTACTTGGTTTGATTCTAGCATGAGCGAGTAGAAGCTATATAAGTTGATTAGAAATTTACACATGAATGAATGAGAAGCTTTGCTAAAAGCATTTTAATAACCTGAAAGATTGCTATATTTGATCGACTTAATAGCAAAATTGAACAACAAACCATCCTGAAAACTTGCTTTGGTTTGTTGCATTCTTAGGTCTGGTTGATAAATGGACAGAGTTGCAGTTATTGCCATTTCAACCTTCAGAAAATTAAAAATTCAGATAAGGAATTAACATCTTAGACAACTTTGTATTTCTGCAGGGTGTGAATGTTCCTCGAGTGATCCAAGAGTTGCTCCCTGTGTTGCCGGGACTTTCAGCCAAAGTGCTTCCTGAGGTCATCAGTCGTTTATCCTCACGTGTGCTTGCACGTGTAATCAGAGATACACTTCTGTAAACTAGAAACCATTTTCGCTTGTGTTTAAAACTGGTCCTAAACATACATCCACACATTCAATTAGAGACTGGTATATCATAGAAATTTCTGAACACGTTTAACGATCTAGTAGAACTATATAATAGTCAACTTGATGTCGTAGCAAGTGTAAAAAATACTGACCACAATTTATTATAAAAGCTGACATGTATTTCTTATCTTACACTTGAAAAGTGCCAATCTATATATAGCCTGTTGTTTGGCCGGGTGTAGTATGGGTGTGCTAGTTTCTCCATTATTATACTTGTTATACGGAAAAAAATTACCTATACTGAAGACTGCGAAAATACAAAGTGGCCCTATTTGAGACTGAAACTAAACACTGTGAAACAACCGAAGAAACCGTGCTATTGAAGTTGTGTTGATGCATACCCACGCTTGGACGTTACAACAACAACAACAACATAGCCTTTAGTCCTAAGCATGTCGGGGTAGGCTAGAGATGAAATCCAAGAGAAACACAAAAAGACTCGAACCAAAAGAAAGAGATCGAAAAAAAAAAAAAAAAAAAAAAAGAGAGAGAGAGAGAGAAAGGAGCAAAAGTCACGGTTCTGGCACGTTGATAGCGAGCCTCCAAGCGCTCCTATCCACCGCTAATCCTTGGAGATATCTCAATCTTTAAGGTCTCTCCTAACCGACTCTTCTCAAGTGAGTTTAGGCCGACCTCTACCTCTCTTAACATCCTCGACCCGCTGTAGAACTCCCCTACGCACGGGTGCATCAAAAGGCCTCCGTTGGATATGTCCAAACCATCTCAGCCGATGTTGAACCAATTTCTCCTCAATTGGGGCCACCCCGACCCTATCTCGAATATCCTCATTTCGGATTCTATCCCTTCTTGTGTGCCCACAGAACCAACGCAACATACGCATCTCTGCTACACTTAGTTGTTGGACATGTTGCTTTTTTGTAGGCCAACATTCAGCACCGTATAGCATCGCCGGGCGAATCGCCGTCCTATAGAACTTACCTTTTAGCCTTTGTGGCACCCTCTTATCACAGAGAACGCCCGACGCCTGATGCCATTTCAACCAACCGGCTGCAATTCTATGCCTAACATTAGCATCAATGCCGCCATCCTTTTGTAGCATCGATCCCAAATACCGGAAAGTCTCCTTCTTGGCCACCACTTGCCCGTCAAGGGTAACGTCACCATCATCATGTGAAGCCATGCTGAAAGCGCACGTCATGTACTCAGTCTTCGTCCTACTAAGTCTGAAGCCTTTCGACTCTAACGCGTCCTTCCACAGCTCCAACTTCCATACCCACGCTTGGACGCTGATCTGTTTATATTCCTTTTTCTCAAAGATTGTTTATCTCTCTGCATATGAACAAGAACCGGCAAAGTAAACTAATAAAGTGATCGCCCATCCGGTTCCATCATCAAAAGTCGAGATTTTACTTGAGGAAGTGATGTAGAGCGTATGTATGAACGGGATAGGACACGATCAATTCTCAAGAGAAATCTCAAATTTCATAAAATCAAGTCTGCCCTCTCCAAAGAGAAGTTGATTATTCATATACATCAGATTATTGCCCTACTGCAAAAGCCCATTAACAAAAGGCCCAACAACTGAAAATAATAGTAATAGCCCAACAATAAATAAAAGACTGAAAATGACACTTAAACACGCTAGATACGAAGACGGTCATAATTATTTAAAAATGCTATCGAGGTCTCGTCTCCATCATCCTCCCCCAGTTGGGAAGGATTCGGCCGCGAATCTGAACCGGTCTCGTCTCCGTCTGAATTATCCCCCGCAAATGGCACCAAATGCTTGACGTTAAACTCATCAGAAGTGCGAATGTGAGAAGGAAGGCGAAGACGGTAAGCATTGAGATTGATTTTCTGAACAATTTCCACCGGGCCAATTTTTCGGGCGGACAGTTTACTAAACTCGTGAGCGGGAAACCTATCCTTAGTTAAAACAGCCCAGACAAAATCACCTACCTCAAACTCGACGTGCCGACGATGAGCATCGGCGGCCCTCTTGTACGCCGCAGTAGTCAACTCCAGGTGAGCCCGTGTCGCGGCGTGAGTCTCCAGCAGGTCCGCCACAAGGTCCGTCGCCCGCCGGTCTGCCCCGTCGGAAGGTGGCAACGGCGCCAAGGCACATGGCCCACGCGGCTGCACAACATACAAAATCTGGAAAGGCGAGAGGCCCGTGGCCCGACCAACTGCCGAGTTATGAGCGAACTCAGCTTGACACAAACGTTAGTCCCAAGTACGAGTATTCCCCAATGAGCGATTAACCACCTCTGTTTGGCCGTCTGTCTGAGGGTGATAAGCACTGCTGAAATCGAGATGGGTGTCCACCATACGCCACAAGCTCCTCCAAAAATAACTCAAAAATCGAGTATCACGGTCTGACGCAATAGCCGAAGGCAATCCATGGAGACGGTAAATCTCCCTGAAAAACAACTGGGCCGCATGAACAGCATCGGTGGTGCTCTTGCATGGAATGAAGTGTACCATCTCCGAAAAACAATCGACCACCACAAAAATAGAGTCAAAGCCCCGTTGGGTACGAGGCAACCCCAATACAAAGTCCATGCTGATCGACTGCCATAGCTAGGATGGAATCGGGAGTGGCCGGTACAAGCCCGTGTTAGTCGCGACGCCCTTGGACACCTGGCAAATCCAATAACGTGCAACAAAACGACCCACATCACGCCGAAGGGACGGCCAAAAATAACTTCGACTAACTAGCTCCACGGACCTATCACGGCCCACGTGACCTGTCCCATGCAAGTCGGCAATAAGCTTATGTCGAAGACTGCAATCTGGGATACAAAGACGAACACCACGGAAAATGAAGCAATCCGACAAGGTATAGTCCTCTTAAGGCCTGGCACGTAAACAAGCCAAAATCGGGCCAAAAAATGGATCCCCCACGTACACGTCCCGCAAAACATCAAAACCCACAACCGAGACACGCATCTCGGACAGCAAAAGTGCACGTCGACTCAATGCATCGGCAACTCGATTGGAAGCACCTGACCGATGGCGTAAGACGAAAGTGAACTGCAGCAGAAAAGCAGTCCAGGAAGCATGTCTCGTCAAGATGTTATCCTGCGAGGCTAAATGGCGAAGAGCCTCATGGTCCGTGTACAACACGAACTCTCTGTGAAGAGATAATGACGCCAATGGCGAACCGCACGCACCACAACATAAAATTCAACATCATAAGTACTGTACCTCAACCTCGGGCCAGATAGCTTCTCGCTGAAGAAGGAGATCGGCCGCCCATCCTGGCTAAGGACCGCCCCTATCCCTACTTTCGAGGCGTCACAGGATAGCTCGAACGGGCGAGAAAAATCCGGTAAGACAAGCACCAGAGCCGATGTCAGTTTGGTCTTAATAAGTGCAAAGGCCTCGGCGGCTGCCTGTGTCCATGTAAAAGCCTTCCCTGTGAGGCAGTCAGTGATTAGGGCCATGACAGAACTGAAGTGGGAAATGAACCGTCTATAGAATGAGGCTAGCCCGTGAAAACTGCGAGCCTCTGTGAACGTAGTCGGTATCGGGCAATCCCGCACGGCTGCCACCTTACTCTCATCAACCCGAATACCTTCTGCCGAAATAAGAAAGCCCAAAAATAGGACGGAGTCGACCATGAAGAAACACTTATGCGGCGCAGCAAAGAAAGACTCGGTTCTCAAGATAAGTAGGACCGCTCACACGTGCTCCAAATGTTCCTCCACCGAACGACTATAGATGAGTATATCGTCGAAATAAACGACGACACACCGCCCGATAAGATCCCGCAACGTCTGGTTCATGATGCGCATAAACGTGCTCTGCGCGTTGGAAAGACCAAACGGCATGACCTTCCACTCAAAGAGCCCCTCACGGATTTTGAAGGCCGTTTTCCATTCATCCCCGGGCCTAATCCAAATTTGATGGTAGCCGCTACGAAGGTCCGATTTGGTAAAGACAGTGGCACCGTTCAGCTGATCCAGCAAATCATCCAAACGAGGAATAGGAAAACGATACCTGACAGTGATCTTGTTGATGGCTCGACTATCAACGCACATGCGCCACGCACCATCCTTCTTCGGAATCAATAAGGCCGGAACGGCACACGGGCTAAGGCTCCTACGAACAACCCCACGTTGTAACAACTCTTCAACCTGCCGGCAAAGCTCTTCGTGTTCCACCGGGCTCATCCGATAATGCGGCCTGTTGAGAAGGGAGGCCCCCGGGACTAAGTCTATATGATGCTGAATATTCCGTAATGGAGGCAGACCGGTAGGAAGATCGGCAGGAAAAACGTCCGCAAACTCGGACAACAGTGGCTGCATGATGGTTGGTGGCTCGTGCTCAACGGACCTGTCAGAGCCCACAAGTAAAAGGACCACCTGGGCCGACCGCATTTCCTCTACAACAGCCGCCCTCGACAGAAAAAAAAAAAAAAACATTCGAAGAACTAGTAACCGGCATGGGACGAGAAGGAGCAGGATGTAAGACAATCCTTGTACCTCCAAATGTGAAAATGTATGTATTAAGCCTGCCGTCGTGAGTTGCTGCCAGATCATACTGCCACGGCCTCCCCAATAACACGTGACACGCATCCATAGGAACCACTTCGCACCATACTTTATCCCTATAATTCGCCCTAATGGACAAGGATAGTAAGACCCGGCGATCAACCGTAATAGCATTACCTCGCTGGATCCATGCCAATGTGTAGGGCTAGGGATGAGGCTCGCTCGAGAGGCGTAATTTGTCAACGGCCTCTTGTGCAACCACCTTTTCACAGGAGCTCGAGTCAATGATAAAGCGACACACCTTGTCACCGATAGTGCATGTCGACTCGAAGATATGGTGTCGCTCCTTCGTCTCATCACTTGTCGACCGTGGTGTCAAACACGAGCGACGAATCACAAGAGCCCTCCCAACATCTCCCTTATGATGCTCCTCGTACAGTCCCGACTCAACATCATAAACTGGCGGTCCATCATACTCCGCGTCCTTTTCCATATCTCCGCCATCGTCAATGAATAACCCACGAGAGCCCGAGCCGCGAGGACAAGCCGCCTGACGATGACCCACCTCCCCGCATCCAAAACATCGCATGCCCGTACCTACACACTTCCCCGCTGCCGACGGCGAAACTCCCGCGCCACCCGCCCGCGCCTGACTGCTGGTCGGTCCTGTGAAACGGCCTGCCCCGATCTACCCCGCTCTGGTACCCGTCGATGGACTCGCTCGACCGGGCTGCAACATGCCACTACCACCCGGGCCTGCACGCGTAGACGGTGAAAATGTCGGGCCAGCTTTCCGGGCTAATTGTTGCTCTGCGAGCCGGGCTCGTTGGTGCGCATCTGATAACGATTCTGGCTGAACAAAATTAAGCATGTCCTGAATGGCCACACGAAAACCTCCCACATAACGAACACAATCAATTGA